ATGTTTGTTTTCTCCTGGTTTGTTTGTGCTCAGGGCTCTGATGGGTGATGTAGGAGAAATGGTCAGACTTGGGGTACGAGGCAAAAAGCTGCACTGTACCCAACTTGTGGCAAGGACAGCGAGGCATTTGAGTCTCAGGACAAGCTGAGGAGGATCAAACTGCTTTGACGTGGCCTTTAACTGCCTGTAACACTGCTCGTGTCTCCTCTTCAGACCACCCAATATGCTGTTGCCTGCCAAGGAGCAGACGAGTGCTCCTGAAATCCTCTGGGCTCTGCTGTTTGTGCTCACACATAACCTTCCTGCCGCCCTCCTCCTTCCCTCCCTCTGTGCCTGCTGCTCTGGAGCTCTCTGCTCGCTGTCCTCAAGCTCAGCAGCCTCTCTACACCCTTGGCCTCCCGGTCCTTTCCTCTTCCCTCCTTTGCTTCCTTCTCAATCGTGGCTTGAGCAATTAAAATGTTGGGATGCAGGGCGATCCTTGGCATGGAGGCACTAGCTGGATGTCTCTACTTGTTAGCTGTAGCTTTGCAATGAGGTGGATGTTTTGGTACGTTGCTAATAAATGATGGAATAAGGAAAAAATATACATATGCCCTTGCTGGGAAGCAGATTCCCCTAGAGCTTGGTTGGATACCAGCTCTTACTAAGCCCTGCTATGACCTGCTGGTCTCTATGGCCAGAGCTTATGTAAACCTCTGGTGGTGTCTTCCCCTGCCACATCTCAACAGTATTGGGCTGAGCGGGGCAGAGCTCCCTGCCCACTGCTGTCCCACAGCACTGGCATCTCATGGTGGGTTGGGTTCCCTTGCACTGATGCAATCCCAAATTCCGGCCTGATTATGCTGGAAATCAGCGTTGCCAGGGGTTATCTTTCATATTCAAGAGGAAATGCTGCAGCTTTCCTAAGCCAGATACTGTAGCTCAATTTTGCAGACCTGAGATGTTCCGATGAGCCTGGGAAGATGATAACCAGCTGCAGGGTGCTTGCAGAGGGCTGAAGCGAGCACATGTAATAGATATAGCACCATTATTGTTGTTAGCAATATAAATATGCTTTTACTTATTACTTAGTGAGTACCCCGTTGGAAACATTCATATTTAATTAGCATTGATTCATTTTGATGGAATTGTGCTAAAACCCGGGGTGGTGGAGCCCCTGTCTCTTGCCCAGACAGTGAATATCACATAACCAGCCATTCACTTCATCAGCAAAAACTTTTAACTCTGTTTAGGACTGAAAAGTTATGCTTTTTGTATTGAAAATAGTGACCAGAAACCTTGAGACTACCGCTGGTAACTGGGTGGGTAAGGCTTTGGCAGGGAGCATTATTGCAGGTGATCTCTTTTTATAGAGGAGTGTGCAGGACACTGACTGGTCCTTGTATAGGACAGTCCAGCAGTATCTTGCCTTGGGGATTGGTTTTGGGATTAGTTTTAATTCAAAAGGGATTATGAGCCTGCTGTTCTGGTCAAAATACTCCAGGATTTTGTGAGCGACTCCTATAATGCTTCTACCCATTGGAAGAGTGGGGGGAAAAGTCGGGAGGGTCCATCTCTATGGACTTTTCGTGGTTTGCAGAGGTGAGAAGAAATGAAATCTCTGATACCTTCACAAAAGGGTGCCATAGAAAGGCAAAACAAATGCCTTGGTGCCCCAAAGCAACACATGCTTGTAAGGAACTGTTTGAATGGGTGTCCTGGGTTCAGCACAGCAGTCATTTTTTCTCCTTCTTAGTAGCTGGTGCAGTGCTGTGTTTTTGACTTTCAGTCTGGGAACAACGCTGATAACACCGATGTTTTTAGTTGTTGCTCAGTGATGTTTACTCTGACCAAGGACTTTCTCAGTCTCATGCTTTGCCAGAGAGGAGGGGAAGCCACAAATGCCTTGGTGCCCCAAAGCAACACATGCTTGTAAGGAACTGTTTGAATGGGATGCTGAGATTTCTGAGTTTTCAAGCTTTCCCTATATAAAGGATTTGAGTGTTCTGAGCTTTGAGGAGATGGGATACTTGCCCCCTTGCAAAAGCAGGGATTCTTCCCTTCAAATCCCTGTATCCATCCAGCTCAAAGCACCATGGGGAGGATACTGGGAATGCCCATCAGTTGCTGAAGACGAGGGGAAACATGCATCTGCAAGGCTGTGTCCTTTCCCCCACGTGGATGGGAGCATGCTGGTTACCCAAATCAAGGTTCATATTAGTTGATCCACTTCCCTCAGAGTTCCCAGGAGTGGCTTTTCTATGAGCACAAGGGGAAACGTGCATCTCCAAGGCTGTGTCCTTTCCCCCACATGGATGGGAGCATGCTGGTTACCCAAACCAAGGTTTATATAAGTTGATCCACTTTCCTTAGAGTTCCCAGGAGTGGCTTTTCTATGAGCACCTGTAATACTACTGGGCCCTTGAGAGCTCAGGAGCATCTGCAAGTGCAGGGGATAAACACAGGGAATTTCAGGTCTTAAGGCAGACCCAGAGCTGTATCTCTTCCCTTCTACAGCAGCTGCCTGCCTTGTTGGCTTTGCTGAAGCAAAAGTCCTTTGATCTAAGAAGGATGGGGAATGTGGGAAGAGATGCAAGGCAAGAAGGTTTTTAGTGGTGGTTTTCTCTTAGTGGATTTCAGACGCAATTTGGTGGAATGGAGAGCAGGACAGGAGGCAGACAAATACAGGTAGTGTTAACATCTGCTGGGTATGTAGGGCTTTTTGAGGCATGTCTGAAATGTCACTTGCTTGCCCTTCAGTTTAACCAGAGGTCTGCTTAGTTGGCATCTTCATTTCAGAATCAGCCTCAAAAGGCGTAGAAAGATTTGAGCTTAGATCTTGGTATGTTTTGATCGTCAGTGGAATAATGACTTATAGACCCATCAGGGACACTTAAACCTTCCTACCCAAGCCATGTGCTCCTACAACTATAGATAGAATATCTCTCCACTAATGTTAAGTTTGGTGTTGAATATTTGTCTCGCTGCAAAACCTGCAGTATGGAAACACTTCCCTGTCTCTAATCAGCCCAGGTATCAAGCACGAGGCAACTCGTCTGCAAGGCTCTCTTCTCCTGCCCTCTGTCTCACATTTAACATGCTCTTTTCCCAGGTGACCCACCACAAGCTGCTGCCTGGATTGGCCAATGTATCCTCTACTTGCTGATAATGGTGTTTGAGAAGACTGTGATTAGCCTTGTCCTGCTTATCCCTGGTTGGACAAAGGTAAGCCTCAGCACTTTACGACTTGTTTCTTGACAGCTTTGCCTTATTAGTGGTCCCTATCATCACAGTCTTAGGTACTTATGACTTGTTGACATGCCTCTGTAATCATTAGCTATTACTTATGTTTGAGGAAACATGGCTTTCATAACAGCTTGGCTTTTGGCACGTTTTCTTGCTAGTCAACAGCTAGTGGAATAAGATGTTGCTTTTATTTTCCATCCTTGGAAGGATAAGATGGGCTGGGCTGGGCTGGCAGCTGAGCTACTGCAGTTCTGCCAGAGGGTTTCTGCATTATCTTGCCAAGTCAGTTCATGCTGGTGTTGAATGATCCCTTGCCTAAACGAGGGGGGCCCTTAGAGATTAATCTGGAAAGAACTATCCATGTAGCATGCTGTCCTCAGCTGCTTCTGTATGGTTGTTCATGCAATGGTAACTGTGTTGGTCACAAGTTTCTCTTTCAAAAGCTGAAAATAATAACCTGTGGCACTTGTAGCCACATACTTGGTGGTAGGTTGATGTGATGGGTATAGAAACCAATTCTGGGAGTCCGTGGGTAACTCCACTTTTAAGTGCATTTACACATAGTGCATAGTACCTCACAAGCTGACGTGGCTTGGCTGAGGAGTTAGTTATGGCAATCTGGCAGCACTTATCTGTCCCTGTTCAGGACTTGTCCTTCAAACCCAACAGCCTGCAGTGCTCAGACTTGGATGTGAACATGTTCAGCAGCGCACACTACTAGATCCAGAGATGCTGCTGGATTCTTCTCCATGCTTATCACATGTGGCTGCTGTCCTTATTTTGCAGCAAGGCTCCAAGGAGCCAAGAAAAGTCCCACCAGTAGTTGTAATGGGTGGTTATGCTGAAAGCAGTACTTCTTGCTCTGTACTAAATCATGTATTTGGCAACTGGGCTAAAGGAATAGCCCATGTCATCTTTGTAAGAGCTGGGAGAAAGCAAAGACCCTATCTAGGAGACTGCTGGTGTAAGGTGTCAACCAAGTTACTGCAAAGAGCTGTTCAAATAATGCTTCTAAATGATTTCTCCTCTACAGCTTCAGCAGATCCTCCTGGGTTACATCCCAAGCCCCCAGCTGGAGCTCATCCTGGTCATGCTTGTTGTGCCTTTTATAGTCAATGTAAGTGATGCCTCTGGAAGTGATGGCTTGGAAATCATGGTCCATCCCATGGGGAGCTTGGGGTTAGCCAGGGTGGAGGGGAGTTGTCACAAATCCACAGATCTGTCACTACTGCCCTGCCATAGCCTCTCTTCCCGGTATCTGCTCCATTGTCCAAGCTGCTGGGTGGCTGACTCTTTATCTTTGAAGAAAGCTGGGGCTCCTTAACTGAGGGTTACAGGCATGAGGATGCCCCCAAACCCTTTAACTTCCTATAGGATGGTTTGTCAGTGGTGACCTTCCACAACCTGTCACTCTAGTCATTTGGCTAGACTTCATATTGTGTTACAGCAAGGCAAGGTGTTCAGGTTATCTAAAACTAGCTCAGCAAAACCTCTTGAGAGCTCAGCTTTTTCCTGGTTCCCCTGATTCTGGGTAATCCTTGACCTGCTGCTCAGTTCCTGCGAAGATGGGAAGTGAGAACAAGGTGTTAATGTTCAGATGCTCCATGGACAAGGAGCAAGTTGAGCTCTCTTTCAACTCAATGAGCAGTGTAATGGAGGCAGTGTTGGCAAAGGTAGGTTTATCTGCCTCTGCTCCCAGCCTCTCTCTGCCACCCCAGGCTGTGTTTCCACGTTCAAAAGCAAACTCTGGTTCTTGAAGAACTGACCAGGGACTGGTGCAGACAAAGCGGATGGAGCATAGTGCAATGTTATCACCTGATGGAAACATGGCCTATTGTGGTCTTTTTTACTCTGGGTCTTCAACTATGGAATCAATAGGATTTATATGGGAAGGGACCTCAGGAATTTGACTCACCCAAGCCCCATGGACACACCTGATGCAGGGCTACTTTGGATATTAATTGAGGGTGATCAAGACTGGATATGTGGGGAAACCAAAAGGAGAAGAAATAGCTATGATTGAATGACTTTGAAGAGACCAAACTACAGTCTACTAACTTAATTTGTTTCTCCCCAAGGCCATTATGTTCTGGGTTGTGGACAGCTTGATCATGAAGAAATACAAGCAGAAGGACACCCTGGACATCAATGGATCCATAGAAACTCCTCGGGCTAGGAGGAATGAGGAATCTCAGGTAAGACCAAGGTGTTTGAGACTAAACTGCAAGCTTGTGGTATGGTCTTGTGTGCTTTACCACAGCAATACAACATACCATCACATTGCCTAGACCCAGGGTGATGCTTCATGAATGTGGGTGATGACCCTGCTAAGTCAAACTAACTTTCCATGCTTTCAGCTCGGGTGAACAGAAGGATCTCTCCCTATGAGCAATATACCACAGCCTATGAAGTGCTGCTGAAATACTGCCTTAAATGATGACAGTATCTCATGGGGGATGCTTTTGCACTAACCTGGGTGGCCTTACTGGGTTGGCAGCTGAAACTGGTGCATCTCTCTGCACTGTTGCTCTCAACTTTCCTGGTTTTAATAGTAATTAATCTTGGCTTAAAGCTTCTTTCCTTGCTGTTATTGATGGAACCCCTTTTTTAAGAGGGTAAGGCCTAGCTGGGAATCATGGTTTTGTCAGCATTTGGTACTTCTTCAGCCAGGTAATGGTCCTGTAGCTGTAGGAAGCTGTATTTTGTGCAGCCTGAGCTTGACACATAAAAGTTATGGTTGGGAGGAACTCTCCAGTCCCAGGAGATGTTCGTGTTAATGACGCACAGTTTGGGCAGGTGGTGTTTGTGCTTCTCATTAACTTTTGGGCAGAGACCACAACCTGAGTCACTGGGTTAAATTCCTTTCCTTCCTCTGGCACCCAGACCTGGTTTCCCAGTGTTCTGTGTATGACTGCTGATATCTGCAGCTCACTGCCAAAACTCGCTGTGATAAGGGCTTCTGGCATTGCAGGCTGGCTCCAGGAGCAGCTTCTGCTGAGGGGTTTAGGATGAACAGGAATATCTTTTCCTCTCCGATAGCTCTTCATAAAGAGTAACTCAGCTTTTGTGCTGGGTGGGATGGCCAGTTTCTGGTGACATTATAACACACACGGAGGTAATAGTGTGTGCTTGGCAGTCTGCACTGTGGCTTCTGTGGCTCAAGGGCACAGTGGGGAAGCATCCGCTGCTCCTGAGGGTGCAGTGTCAGAGCAGGCAGGGAGGGCAGGCAGATGTGAGCAGCTGCTGAGGCGAGTGAATCACTGCTCCTGGCCTTGCCTCCAGATAAACAGTGGTAGCTTGGCAGGGTCACTAGAAACATGCAGCTTCCCACGTGGTGTGTGTGGTGGGAGCATCCTCGAGAAATCTTCTATTGCTTTGGAGACAGGAGGGAAAAGTGGCTTGAGCTGGGCAGTACCAATGTGTCTCTGGTTATGCACTGAAGCCAAGAACTCGTACCTAAGACATGAAGATGGATTAACTCTTGTCCCTGGTTATGGCACAGTCTGGGTTTCTTGGTGGTGACTGATGTTTGAGAGTGGTACTTCCTTAGAAGAGCTAGCTTGGAGGTCTGCTCAAAATGTAAAGCTCATGGTAAAGATGTTACTGTGTGTGCTGGTGTGTTCCTGAAGGTTTAAGATCAGTTAAAATTACACTAGCAAAGGTAAGGAGGTGACATCTCTGGTTGAGACACCAACCTCCTTTCTAGCCTTTTGAACCTAAACTTGCAGCATCTAGTCCCATAGATAGTGTTGCAGTTACTGGTCCTTTATGATAATGGAGCTGCTCCAATGAAGAGGGGAGGACAAGAGTTTTGTGGCCTCTAGCTCAGTTTTGCATAGTCTGGAGGAAAGACATGTGTAAATCTCCAAAATCTAAGAAAGGCTCTTCTGGCAGCTCAACCTTGATGTGTTGTTTGAAGCAGTAGAAACAACTCCCACAGTCTGACTCTTGCTGTCAGAGGCTTCTCCCATCTTCCAAGTATTTGAATCCTTTTCTCAGACAGATTTGTGCTGAGATCTTCAATGTGGAGGCCATCTGTCCACCTTGAAACCCTCAGATCCATCACTGCAGTGGGTCTACACCAGTGTAATGGTGCTACTAAGGGGACCAGTTTCTACCTGGGGCAGCCTAGAGGACTACCTCCTTTCTGCTGAGGCATGTTCCTGTGCCCTCTGGCCCAACAAAAGTTTGGGCAGAGAAGGAAGCTAATGAGGAAATACAGACCTGGATAACCTGCTTTTCCAACTCATTTCTTGGCATGGGGTCTTGAGGTATAGCTTCTGCTTCACGTGTCAACTTCTTAGGCTGTGAATTAAAGATGATGTTGGTTGGCTGAGCCCTACAGCCAAACTGTGACTGAATTTTAGGCTTGAAAGCAGAAAATAAGGGTTTTCTGGGCTAATGACCTGTTCAAGTGGGGGAATTTCTCCTCTCCCTGCTGCCCACTGGAGAAGGAGGAAGGGGGAGCTGAGATGGTGTCTTGTACAGAGCAGAGGCTAATGTGTCCTGCAGTTTATCAGGGTTCATCAGAGCTGTCTAGCAGCAGGCGCCAGCAGCTCCCCATCATGCTGCCTTCTTGAATTTCAACCCTCTGCCTATCTTGCCAATAGAGACTGTCATTAGTTTCACTCGAACTAGCAGTTTGTGTTGGGAAAAGGAGGGGAGAGGAAAGAATAGGAAGAGGGGGCTGAAGTTAACCTGTTAAAACCCCACACTTGGTATTCTCTATAGGGATAGTGGGAAAACTCAGCTTTGTCCTTGGCTTGGCAGATGGAAGAAACCCAGCAACCAGCAACCTTGCCTTACTGACTCCTTGGCTGCAGGGTAGGCTAAAGAACTGGCAGCCTCTTTTGGGCTTTAAGGCTCTTCTGGTGAGCCACAGATGTGACGATGGGCTCTTGCTTATAATGGAGCAAATGCTGAACTTCTTTATACTGAAACCCTGAAAGGGACAAAACCTCCCTTTTATGGCTGGAAGATTTTCACCCTTCCTTCAAAGCCAGTCTTAAGCTTTGTGTTGTTTCAGACTTGTGCCCTGCCTTGGTAAGTGTTCACACAGTCTACTTATTTTCCTCCCCTCTCATGGGACAGAAAAGATCCCTCAAAGGTGTCAGTCTGAATCCAGCGCTGCTCAGGCTGGGGAAGTGCATTCATCTGTGTGGGCCTTAGTTCTCCTTTGTGTGTGTCCTGCCCTTGACCCGGGTCTCTTTTCCCTTGCCCTTGCAAGTGCCAGTAAAATTTAGATCTTATCAGAGATTTCTTTGTTTCCTCAGCTTAGGAAAACAAATTAAATAATGTTTTGTTTCATCTTTTTTTGAGCTTGTTTTGTTGTTTTGGTTTGGTTTTTTCCCAAGGGATGGGGAAGAGTTTCTGCTCCTTTCCTGAAGGATTACATTAGCAGAGACAAGCCTTAAAGCAAAACTTGGTCTGATAACAGTGGTGCTGGTAAGAACCATTAGGGTGAAACTAAAAGCTAGTTTAAGGTTGAGAGGGAAGCTGATACAGGACATGAGGACCTGCCTTAGGTCAGCATAGAGTTCAGCACCTATCCTCATTCCCTTTGTAAGAGCTGTGACGTTTGGCATTCACAAAACTGAAGATGCTGATGAGTGCCAATACCTACATTGCTTTCTTTTAGGTTACTGAAGAGTACTTCAAGAGCAAGTTTGATTTGCTTGTTGCTGAGCTGATTTTTGAGGATCTCAAACTCAGGGTGAACTCAGATCCCTGGCCCTTATGGGGAAGCGAACTGAAGGCAGGCATAGAGGTGCCTCTGGAAGGAAACAATCCCACCTTTTAGTCTTACTGACTCATGGCATTTCATGGAAGCTCAGATGCAAGAGGATAGTGGGATGGTTCTTACATCTCCACCAGGCTGGTGGGACTTAACACAGTGGGGAAATGGCCCCGGAGCTGCTTTGTTTTACAGCTCCCATGTCTGTCAATCTCTTCCTCTGCCACTGAGATGGCTTTGTTACCTGAAAGGTCTGCTTGGATGGAGCACCAAACAAGCAGGCAGCCTCTTCTCCCAACAGGAGGGGTTGGTAGTGCATGGGCAGCCCTGTTTCAGCAGCACGACACTGTTGTTTTGCAAGCTGCTGGCCTCCTGGTGCGGGGAGGAATGCATGAAGTATCTGAGGACTGCTGAGTGAGACAGTAGCTCCTTGTCCTGGGACTGGGAAACCATGGCCCATTCCCTGCTGTGATCCTGACCTGGATGCATCTGCAGGGAAATTGCCTTGTCCAAGTTGTGCTGAAGCCTCCTAAACTGGAGTTGGGCTTGAAAACAATATCTGAGGGTATGTCCTGTGACTGTCATAGCAATGAGGTGCTGTCTTGTGACAAAGCTCCCTGGGGGGATTGTGGAAAGGTTACTTGGGGGACTGTTTGTTCAAGCAGCTTCCTACAAGCTGCGTGATGGGCAGGTAGCAGCCTGAAGGGGTCTGGATGTGCAATGCTCAGTGCCTGCTCAGTCATCTGCACTTGGCTGCCTGGGGATTAGAGTTTGCTGCTGAAACCCACCAAAATTCATCAGGTCCCAAAACTAGCCTGTTGCAGCCTGTCAGTTCAGTGAGTTTATAATGCTGTGTGACTAGCTGCCCATTTCTTCAGGTTCAACAGCATCACAATACTAATGTGATAAACAGAGGAAATCTTTACTTGGGAGAGATGGAACTTTCCAGTGTGTGTCTTCAACCAGAAAAGAATTCCTTGAGACCAGTGGGTGAGGACAAGAATCTGATCTACTGCTGTCCTTTGAGTGTCTCATGTGCTGCTGTGAGGATAACAACATCAGATGTAAGGGCTGGAGTGTGCACATGAGGGTGGAGAGGAAATCTTCCCCTGCGGCTCTTCTGCTTCTTTGAAGTCATTGACTCACTGGAGTTTGTTTTCCTGTTTAGTCATTTTGTTCCTGTGGTAACTGGCTTTGTGGTGCTGCCTGAGTGCTAACAAGTGGAGGGCACTGAATTCACAACTGTGCATGGAGATAGCCACACAGAAAACTAATCCCCCGTGCTCCTGGGGGAAGGAATAGTGGCTCTGGGACTGGTTGAGCTGTTGGGACAGGCTGCGTGTGGATGTGCTGGGCTGAAAGCCCGTGCAGCATCCCTTGCCTTGTGCCTTTGAGCTGGAAGGCTGCTCCGAGTCAGGCAGAGGGAGGCTTCACAGTGTGCTGGTTTGGAGCAAAGTGGTACCTGCCCCTTGTCCCTGCATCAGACAAGACCTGATGATGCTGTTTGGGTTCTGTGATGGGGAAAGGGCTGCTGGCATTGCTCATGTAGAAAAAAATGGAAGCCCTCGACCCCTGAGTTTGGGGGCTGAGGTGCCAAGGACCTGGCCAGGCTTCCAATGTGGATGACTAGTGTTTACCAGAAAAATCCCATCATATGGCTGAGATCCTGAGTACTACTGGGCATGGCATGAGCTGTAGCTCAAGGGCTGACTGCACTTTCAGTCTGTTTTGAGGCAGATACTGTCAGGAGTAATGACAGTAAGGGCTTCTTTTGCCCAAATCTGGGCATTTGAGATGATAAAAGGGCTAGGATAGGGTTGAGCAAACAACCTGTCCAGCCATGAGTCTTACCCATGTAAACTTGTCCATCCAGCCTGCTGGCTGGCATTGGGTGTCAGCTCTTCTGCAGTCAGTGCAGCCATATCCTGAGTAAAATCCATCCTCTTTCCTCTTCCAGATGATGTGGCTGGAGGATATCCCGTGCGTGGCTCTGCATTGTGCAAACCCTTCAGGCCGGTGGCAGCCACTCAGCTCAAAAGAGCTTGTTGAAGTTAGCTACTGAAAGTGTAGGTGCTCCTGGAGGCCATGGGCAGCCTTTTGATCCCACAGCAAAGCTGTGGGTACCAGTGGGAGGTGTCAGTGCTCTGTTGTCGCTCACACAGTTCAGACTGTGCCAGGTAGGAATAAGATGCTCCAGGCTAGGACACCACTCCTGACCTCACTGGCCATGGCTGAAGCTGACCTTGTAGCTCTGCTTGCTCTTCTGGCTGAGCTCTGGAGACAGCAAGCAGCTGGGGGCCTGGGAAAAGGTCTGCATTTGGTACAGCTGCTTACAAAGCATGTGGCCTGGGGTTTATGTACATCTCCACTGAGGATGCAGCCTGGCCCGGACGTGCATGTCTGAGTCCTGTCCCATGGTAAACAGCTTCTAGCTGCCTGGTCTGCGTTCGAGGTGGGAGGTTGGGACACCAGATCATTAGATGATCTTTAAGGTCCCTTCCAACCTTAACTACTGGCTGTCTGCATCCAAATCTGTTGTTGAAGGCATGGTCAAGATGACTGGAGCATTTACCTATTTGCCAGAGAGGATTAGATGTTGCAGCATCCCCCTCTAGGGATGCTTGACCCCTTCAGCAAGCAGTATCAAGAAGAGCTGAGAACTTCCACTCCATCACCATCTGTCTGTTCTCCTTCCTAGGTGCTGCTCTCTCCAGACATGGATTTTGATCAGTCTGAAAGCGACCAGGATATTTCAGGACTCCAGGGAACAAACCAGAAGATGAAGCAGCCCAGCTATCAAGTGGTCATCTGACAACACTGAGACAAAGGAGGTGGAGGGAGGGAAGCAACACTGTGGTCCGTGAGCTGGCCAAGGGGATGCTAGTTGATCCTTATGGATCTGCAGAGATCCTTTTGCCTGCCTCAGCTATACCTATCTGCAGTTGTCTCTTTGGGATGATATCTATGCATCCTGTACAGGCTTAAGCAGCATCTGCTTTACCTGTGTGACCCTAGCCCATACACATGCAGGCACATTGGGGTTAGGGATGTGGATATGTACTTCCCCTGGCTGGCCAGCTGGGTGCAACTTTTTGTCAGGGCTAGAGACTGAAATCAGAATTGTCTGCTTTTTTAATAGACAAGGAAAAAAGATCTGCCCTGAACTGTGACACTTTTATATGCACAATACTCAGAATAATTGGTTTGCAATATGTATTTAAATGCCTTGAACTGGAAAGGTTGTTCCGGTGGATCTGATGCTTTTTACTGTTTTACAAGGAATGCAGTAAATATTTGACCTAAAACCTTCATAAATGTCTTAATGTGCTTAATGCTGTGCAAAACCTTGATGCTGTAAAGAGGATGAAGGGGATCTGTTGGAATCTTTCCTCACCAGTTCCTCACAGGGATGTTGTCTGTGCAGCAGGGCTATCCTGGTAAAACTACAGAAGAGCTGAGCCACAGTGCTTGGTTTCTGTACATGGGTTCTATGAGATGCTTTAGTGTGAAGACCTGATGCTTCAGCTTCCATCTGTGCTGGATTCCAGGCTGGGGTAGACTTGGAGATTGATCCCAGTTGCCACCTTGTAAGTGAGGATTTATTGGGCACTAGAAGTTGATTACTTTCCTTTTACCTAGTTTAGAATAAACATGAGGCTGCGAGGGCTGGAGCTGCTCTGCTCTGGAGCCAGGCTGAGAGAGCTGGGCTGGGGCAGCTGGAGAAGAGAAGGCTCCTGAAGGGGACACCTTAGAGCAGCTTCAGTGGCTAAAGGGGCTCCAGGAGACCTGGAGAGGGGCTTTGGACAAGGGATGGAGGGACAGGCCAAGGGGAATGGCTTGAACCTGCCAGAGGGGAGACTGAGATGAGCTCTGAGGCAGAAGCTCTTCCCTGTGAGGGTGCTGAGGCGCTGGCACAGGGTGCCCAGAGAAGCTGTGGCTGCCCCATCCCTGGCAGTGTTCAAGGCCAGGTTGGACACAGGGGCTTGGAGCAACCTGCTCTAGTGGAAGGTGTCCCTGCCCATGGCAGGGGGTTGGAACTGGATGAGCTTTAAGGTCCTTTCCAACCCAAACCAGTCTGGGATTCTATGAAATCTCTGCAGGACCTGATTTGAAGAGTCAACTGAAGCCCTATTAAGCAGCCCTGATCTTTTGGGGTGAAGGAATGGCCTCAGGCAGGGCTGGTGCAGGAGAAGCCCCCTGGCTCAAAGCAGATCTGGCACCTTCTGCTCTGTGTGTGAGGTGCAGGGCTTTGCCCTGGCCCTTTTGTTAACATACTGTATTCATCTGTAAACACACAACAATGCAAACCACTTTGCAGCTCCCCTGGGAAGAGTGAGCAGAGCAGTTGCACAACGTGCTCCCAGGCTGGGTGCAGACACAGCTGTGATGAGACCCATCCAGAGTCCAGACAGTGGACAGACCTCAGGGCAGGGCCTGATCCAGGATCTGCTGAACTGAACTGAACTGATAGACCCAGTTGAGCCATAGACAGTCTCCAGAAGCACTGGATGGGAATTATCTTTTCCCTCCCTCCCTTGTGTTTTCCCAAGGAACTGCTCCTCATTAAGGAGTAGAAAATAAAGGATTTTGGGGTTTGGACTTGGGCAGATTTAGACTTCTAAAAGCTGAGTGTGTGAAGTTGTTTGGGTGTGTGTGGGTTCTTTGTTTCCCAAACTTCAAAGTAGTTTAGAGGAATTAGATGCAAGTCAAAGTCTTGCATGTCCTTAGTGAACTAGACACACTTGGCAGCTGGGCAGCCTCATACTCTATTGCTGGAAGTTAAGTCATTTTTTGTTTCTTATTTAATGAAGGGCAAAAATCCTCCATCAGATGCTTTTGGAACATGTGCCCGGCAGCTCTCTGAATAGATCACTTATAGTGCTTAGTGAAATCAATTCAACTTTTGCTTGTCTGGCAGAGTTCTGTGCTGGTAAGGGCTAGAGTAACTCCTATGCTGTTTAAGGTCTTAGCTGAGAATAGATTAAAGCAGTTTCTCTGTTAGAAACTCGCTCTCTGTTCTGAGGTGTACTGGTATTTTGGGGTTTGCTCCTGCTATAGGGCTGCACAGAGCAAAGCTGCAGTACCTGAAGAGTGCAAACTCAGCCACAGCAACATCCTTGTTCTAAAGTGGAAGGTGAGTGGCATGATCTTCATCTTGGCCCTTAGCTAAGGCTGACTGGGAAGGCTCATGACAGGCAATAGCAGGGTAAGTATGATACGAGGTTGTCCCTCTTGATCATTGTGTGACCAGTCCTGTCTCAGCAGCCCTAAATTCAGGCATCCTGTTCCCTTGTCTGACATGATGATGTGCAATTGTTTCCATTGCACTCCAAGTGATTGTTCAGCCCTCGTTCCTCAGCCATCTGAGCAGCTTGCAATGCAATGGCTTGCAATCTTTAACCATATCACTTCAAAACTGTGTGCTGTGTGACACTCTTGGAAATGAGAACAAACGTGTGCCTGTATGTGCAGTCACTGCAGTGCACATCCTTAGAGCTCCCTTGCTGCCACAAAGGGTTATGAGGATTGAGCCTGGACATACTCTTCCGAGACAGGGAAGTGTTGTGATGCCCCCTTTGTAGTTGGGAAAGCTGAAGTTCACAATCCATGACCTGTGCCTTGGCTCTTACTGCTCTTGGGGCAGCAGGAGCGCAAACTCTGGCTTCTCGTGTCCTAATCTGTGTTTAGAGGCTGGATCACTCTTCTCTGCATGGTTAAATTCTCAGTTTAATGTGGGAGTAGAACCCTAGGGTCCATTCAGCTAACACACTTGTTGCTTCCTACCAACTATGTAGAGGCTGAAGAACATCACTGACCTTTAATTTTCCACTGAAATTGCTTTGGTTCACAACCTGCTATTAAATTGTGAGTGGTTCCTTTGGCCATCTAGTAACATGAGCTTGTCCAGCAGCATAAAACATACAGAACCTTAGTTTCAAAGCTCATTTTATCTACTCCAAATGAAAGCTTCACTGCAGTGTTCACTGTAAAATATTTATTGTGAAATGGATAACTGGAGCCTAAAGGAGAACTTGAGTATATTGCTCCAGGTGCTTCATATGGCTGGGAAGCTGGACTTGATCATTGTTCTCTTCAGGCCCTGAAAGAAATATGTTTCCTTGGCTGGAGTAGGAGGAAGAGGAGGAATGATGCACCTGAAGCATTAGCAATATGTGTATGTGTGTATATATATATATACATATCTATATACAGGAGAGATGAGACAAGAGGAGACCTTAAGCCAATCAATCCCCTTAGCAATACACTTGAACAGTTAAATGTGGGAGGAGAGTAAAGATTTCAAAGAAATCCCTTCAGTGAGGACAGGATGAAGAAGACTGGGCAGTCTGGAAGTTCACCACCACTATCGTGTTCACTCTGGGTTAGTGATATGGGAGCTTGTTTGGAAATGGGCTGGTGATCTTTCTTTCCACTGTTGTCTTGGCTGGAGAAGTCAACTTCACAGATGTTCTTTCCCATCTCATTTTTGGCCCATGCGTATGCTGCGGAGCATTAACCTCTTGGGTTACTGCATGCTTTCAGTTCTCCCTTACAGGAGAGCTGTTTCTCAACATAACCGGGCCCAAAGCAGTAGGGGTTTTTATGTTCTGTTCCAAAGCATGAAGCCTTGGCCTGAGTTTTGCACTGACTGAGCTCTCTGTAAGCATCTTCCAGCAGTCAAACCTAGCTGGTTGCTTTTGGCTAGTTCCCTTGTCCCCGCAGCCCTCGGTGTGAATAAGAAACCATGCTTGCCTCCTGCTCTCCTGCCGCAGGGCTAGCAGTGCTAACCAGAAGATGAAGCAACTGGAAAATCATCACCCCACCCCCAGCACCAATATGATTTGATATGAAATATTAAATATGAAAAAATATCAGTCAAGATTGAACCCATTTCTGTAGCTCTCTGGCAACTCTGTTTCCTCCCAACACATGGATATCATTTAGTTCCTGGAGGTGCTTCCACACCCACCCTCTTTCAGTTCTGGAAAGGCAAAGTATACATGAGCTCAATTTGGCCTTACCATCTAAATGTCTTTGTGGTTGTCAAAGTCCTCTTTGGCCAAGTTCTCTATTAACCAAAGTCCCCTGTGGCTGAGCTATAGCATTATTCAGTGATGCCTCACTTTAAAATAGACCACAGCCTTGCAGTTTGGGGTTGGAGGTTTGCACCACCTGCAGTGGGGGTGGCTGGCGGCCCCTTCTGTAACCTCCTGATGCCCAATTC